CGATGCTGCTGATCCAGGATCAGAAACCAAGTTGTTTCTGGAGGACAAACAGGAGCCTGAAGGTCAGAACGACGTCATAGTTACAGCGCAGTGAGACAGGCTGTCCTCTTGTCCCTCTGACTTCATGTCCAGCAGAAGTAGAAATGAAGCCGTGGGGTCAGTGACTCTCATTTAGTGAGATACTCACAGGGTGGGCATGAAAGGAAAGCAGATTCATTTTTATTCTTTTCTTCATTCATGCTTGAAAAGAACAAGCGTCCAGTGATGAGGTAGCAGCAGGACTTGTCCTTATGTCCTGAATGTCCAGACATCAGTGATTGGTGACAATGTTGGGTTTCTTGAGGAATGAAACAGCCTTTTCTTTACAAAACAATAATAAATCAGAAGCAATATATTAGAATAACATTGTCCATCAGGCTGACTGTCCCTCTGTTTCACCCCATTTCTCTCATCGAGGCAAATTTATTTATTTGAGCTCCTTTTGTTGTGACAGCAGGAGATTTCTTTCATACTGCAGCCTGAAAAAACAGCCTGGTATAAATAAGCACATTGTTCTACATTTTGCTTCATGCAGAAGGTCTGGGCTCTCAGCTCTTGACAATCGTCTCCTCTCTGCTGGACTCCACCTCTCCTCTCCACCAGAGGGCGCCATGCTCCAGTAGGCGGCGCTCTCCTTGTGCTCTGTGCTCCAGCATTGTGTCAATAAGAAGTGGTGCTGTGAAGAGAACAATAGTCAGACTGAATGTTGAACATCAGCTGCTTTCTCCTGCTGATTTAAACCTTGTTGGACAGATGGAACATTGGCTGTGGATTATTCTGGCTGCTCTTTTCTCTGGTAAGATACAAAGATGTTTCCTCTACATGGAGTCTTTAAAGCTGCTGATTGTTCTCCTTTAATCAATCATCTTTATTGATCCGTCTCTTCCTCTGCATGTTCTGTTCTTCCCAGAGTGTAAAGGAGACTCAGTGAAGCAGACAGGAGGAGAAGTTGCTGCTGCAGCAGGAGAATCACTGACTCTGGGATGTACCTTTGAAACCAGTGATACATATCCATATCTGTTCTGGTACAAACAAGAAGGAAACAGTTTCCCAAAGTATATGCTGAAACGTTATGGAGAAACTGCAGAAAATTCTCCAGATTTCAGTGAAGACAGATTTGATGCTGATCTCAACACTGAGGCAAAAGAGAAATCGGTGAATCTGACGATCCACGATCTCCGTCTGTCAGACTCTGCTGTGTACTACTGCGCTCTGCGGCCCACAGTGACAGGAAACACCAGAACCCTGAACAAAAACCTGCAGTACTGCACAGCAGCCACTAGAGGGCCTCACTCCCTGTTAACCCACTAAAACCTGCAGTACTGCACAAAAGCCACTAGAGGGCCTCACTCCCTGTTTATCCACTAAAACCTGCAGTACTGCACAGCAGCCACTAGAGGGCCTCACTCCCACTGGTTGTTGAGTCGTTGGACTGAAGACAAAGACAACAGAGACATGAAGCAGCAAAGATCAGAGACGGAGCTGCTGAGGAAGCAGAAACTCTCTGATTGGTTGAGTTGTAGTGGCCCCGCCCACTGACCTTCAGCTCCTCCATCATTTGTTCTTCCTTCATTGTTGATCTGCTGTGTGGCTCTCAGGACTCCAGACATGTTGCTCTCCCTCCTGTTGCTTCTGTCTCTCAGTAGAGGTCAGTTTAAGGTCAGGGATTCTGGTTCAGTCCAGCAGGAGACAACATGTGGGTCTGCTGTCCTGCACTGGGCCAGACGTCGTTCTGACCTTCAGGCTCCTGTTTGTCCTCTAGAAACAACATGGTTCCTGATCCTGGATCAGCAGCATCGTCTTCCTCCAGTGAGCTGAGCATCAGAGAGCTGACCCCGGCAGACGCGGCTCTCTGCTACTGCGCTCTGGAAACACAGTGATACAAAGTGGAGAAGAGGCTGTACAAAAACCTGAACACAGATATCTGACTCCTCTTCAAAGAGGAGGGAAGTGGTATTCACAGCTCAGCGTCATATCAGATGGATTCTGATCATCCTGCTTGATCAGAGTCGCTGTGGTTGCAGCTGCTAATCACTGACAGGCAGAATAAAGACGCCAGTAGAAATGCTACTTCCTCATTCTCACCTTATTTCATTCTGCTGCAGGAATGAAAAAAGACCATATGAAGTAATACAGCGTTAGCTTAGTTCACTTATTCCTGTTGGTAGTTGGATTCGGATCGATCAGTGTTTTCAATTCATGGTGCAGCATCCATGAAAACTCAAGATTTTGGTCATTTTTATTTTGTTAACTTTTGATCAAGTTGACCAAGTTTGAAGTTATTATCTCAGAACAACTTGGACGCAGCTGAACATTGACGAAGCAACGCTGTGTTTAGGGCGTTCTTCCAAGAGATTTATTTCTTGTTCATGGAGGTTCTGTCTAAGCTCCCATTTCAGCTCTATGATCAGTTGGCCTGCTTCACCTTAGGGGGCGCTGTAGAGTTTTTGGCCACGCCTATTTTGAATTCTATTAAAATGCAAACATTTCATTTGGGGTAAATTTAGGTGATTTTTGCTTTTTGTTCAGGCTTCCAAATTAGTGTTTCTTTTATGTCAAGAAAAATGAACATTTGAATTAAAATAGACCTTCACAGCACTTTCACTGGTTTAGTCTAAATATGAATATAATCTATGCTATACATGAAAATAGTTAGAGAAAAGTGATATTGCACCGTGTGGTAGGAAGACATGGTACTGCACAACGCCAGTATTGTAGAAATATAACAGAGTGATGCATCTGTTTAACAATCTATCGTTGCTGGTTGTAGATGTCATGCAGACTGACTGCAGCTGGAATGTAGGACCTGCTGTTCCTTTCTTTCCTGCACCGTTGGCGGCTCAATCTGCTGCCTGAAGGCCCCACAGCCTCATTCAGGGTGATAAGAGTCGATCATAACTGCTTCAGTTTAGCTAAAGTCTCAATGGAGTCCAGACAGCAGTTCAGACTGAGCCAGCTCCCACAAGCATAGAAAGTCCTCACTAATGTCCTGAACTCAATAAATGTCCTCAGCAGGTAGAGATGACCAGACAGCAGTGTTATGTGAGCAGTTTGTTATTGGGCTGTACGCCCAGATGCTCACTGGTACAATCTGAGAAGGCCTCCTCCTGCAATCAGTCACCACCTCCTTGTCTTGCTGACATCGATGTGCAGAAGGTTCAGTTCACACCAAGCAGCAAATATAGAGATAACCTCTCCTGACACGCGTCCAGCAATGGCCGATGTCAAGTTCTTGATGACGTCTGATGTGTGAAAAGGAAAGGAGAGGGCAGTGAACCCTGTGGATTCCCCATGCTGCAGTGGCAGAGCCTCTCATCCTGTGGTCCAGCAGTGAAGTTCATGCTGCCAGGTGGCAGCTGAGTCCAGTTCCTGAGCAGTGAAGGACGGGTTGAGTGACCGGTGCAGCAGGTCAACGCCAGCCAGCATCAAGGCCACCAACGAACTGGTGGACTGCAGGGGATGCATCACATTTTCTCCAGAAGATGGACACAAACACAAAGTTAATGCAGAGGATTCTTTCAGTTCAGTCACTGACAAGGAATTCATTTAAACTTTAGGTCTTTTCCATCTGCAGAGGCTCACCTGTCCTCATGCTCACTGCTATGTGCTACAGAGGACTGATCTGCTGCAGCAGCTGCTGGACCTGAGGGTCATGATGCTAATCTCATTTATGAGGAAAAGCTTTTCTCTGCTCTTTCATCTCCCTGCATCAGTTTGAGCAATCCTGAAGTCTTCGACCGCGCAGCTGGGATCAAGACCAAGTCGCTTGATGAACCAACTTCTCCTTTAACATCTTGAGATTCAGTTTTATATGATGAAGCGATGCATCAACAGCACTGCAATGGTTGTTCAGGCCACAGGATGACATAACTGGTTCCTGTGGATAATGCAGCACATTATCCACCAGCATTCTGCAGAAACTGATGATTTCTCAGACTCCTGTCACCCAAACTGGCACTGAGGGAAGACTTTGTATCCCTCAGACATCTGAGCACTCAGCTCTTAAATTCATTTTCTTCTTCTATTACCACATTATAACAATGTGGAAATATAAATAGCCCATGTCAAACACTGTTAACATGTGGAGGTCACAACTCTAAATGAGCATCGCTGACATTTCATTCTACAAATGTATATTTCTCTTGATCTGTGTATAATTTTAAATCCAACTTCCTGTCAGTGAGTTATTTACTCAGTGCATTGTGGGTCATGTCCACTGGATGATCAGATAAAATGAGCAACAGCTGGACAATCTTTGAATTGAACAATAAAAGGGCCAAAAGGTCAAATGTTGTCACCAGTCATAAAGTCTCAAGTCATGTGGTAGCGTGTTATTGACATGTTGGATGCAGGGACGTCCACCAGAACAGCAGCTGCACGGCTCAGTGTCCGTTATCGGACCACCGGCCCTTTAAGAGCCGGTTTCCAACAAATGACTCCACAGCAGATCCTCCTCATCCTCTCCGATGCTCCAGCACCAGATGTCCACATCGGCTCGTCCACCAGAGGACGGGCTCAGAGCAGCGACACGCAGCCGATGAGACTATTGGTCTGAGCAACAGACGCATCAGAGCTCAGACTGTAACCGCCTACAGGAAGCCCACTGGGTCAGAACCAGACTCCTCAGCCTCCATCATGTTCAAAGGTCCGTTAAGCTGCTACAAACGGCCGAACCGTGATGTCATCAATATGAAGATCAATAATTACTGAAAATATACTCTGAGTTTCTCTATGTATGTGTTCATAAAACTCTTACATTTGACCCGGGGCTTTATATTCTTGTTCAGCGTATTTATCTTTTTTAAAATTACTTAAAATTGGAAACTAAGAAAAAAGTATTCAAACGTCTTTCTGTGAAGCTCAAAACTGGCCATCTTTGAAATGTTTCTACCAAGTAGATGGAGCTCATCTGAGGTAAATTGATCTGATTATTAGCTGGAGCCTCGTCTCCTCTCTGCTGGACTCCACCTCTCCTCTCCACCAGAGGGCGCCATGCTCCAGTAGGCGGCGCTCTCCTTGTGCTCTGTGCTCCAGCATTGTGTCAATAAGAAGTGGTGCTGTGAAGAGAACAATAGTCAGACTGAATGTTGAACATCAGCTGCTTTCTCCTGCTGATTTAAACCTTGTTGGACAGATGGAACATTGGCTGTGGATTATTCTGGCTGCTCTTTTCTCTGGTAAGATACAAAGATGTTTCCTCTACATGGAGTCTTTAAAGCTGCTGATTGTTCTCCTTTAATCAATCATCTTTATTGATCCGTCTCTTCCTCTGCATGTTCTGTTCTTCCCAGAGTGTAAAGGAGACTCAGTGAAGCAGACAGGAGGAGAAGTTGCTGCTGCAGCAGGAGAATCACTGACTCTGGGATGTACCTTTGAGACCAGTGATACATATCCATATCTGTTCTGGTACAGACAAGAAGGAAACAGTTTACCAAAGTACATGCTGAAGCAGCGATTATCAGCCAAAGAGAAAGCTCCAGAGTTCAACAGCAGCAGATTTGATGCAGACCTCAATAAAACCAACAAGACATTCAACCTGACGATCCAGGATCTCCGTCTGACAGACTCTGCTGTGTACTACTGCGCTCTGCAGCCCACAGTGACAGGAAACACCAGAACCCTGAACAAAAACCTGCAGTACTGCACAGCGGCCACTAGAGGGCCTCCAACAGTGTGTCTTTCATTCATTGGTTTTCACATATTAATAATACATTAAATTAGAACTACCAGCACAGCAAGAGACACAAATTAAAATCACACTAGTCAATGCAGAACGATCAGGCGATCAGTTAGTGATCAGTTTTACAACGATGAGTAGAAGCGACAGTGAAATGAAGAGAGGAGGAAGTTGTAAGGCTGCAGGAGGAAGTAGAAATATGAAGGACTTCAGAAAGTGAAGGAGCAGAAAGGTTAGAATTAAGTTTGGATCTATGCAGGAGATTTTGATCTGAATTCTGAATTTAACCAGAATGAGGCTGATGAGCTGACCAGGCTGTGGAGCTTTTCCCAAACTGAGTCAACTGTGTGTTGAAACTGTGTCACTCACAGTGACATCTGCAGGATTTAAAAAGTAATTGCAGGCAAATTCAATAAAGACTGGAAAAGTGACTGAACAAGATTCATTCACGTTTTATTTTGAAACATCAGCTCCTAGCACAACTTCAGGCTGAGACGATTGTTCGTTTACAAACCATTTCCTTGTAATTACATGGAGTGATTTGCAAAAGCATTTAATACAAACTAGAAAGTGTGCATTTCCTATGAAAATGCAACTGCAAATGTGAATGCTGTATGCTCAAAGCTGAATGCTCAAAGCTTTTGGTGAAAATGATAAAAGCGTTTGAAGCCGCCTGCTGGAGAAAGGTAAGAAATCGTCCATGCAGTGTGAAAACCCCAGGTACAAGCCAAAATGAGATAAAATAGCATCTAGGATAGCACTAGCATGCTGGGCTAAAGTTATATATTCCATGCAATGTAAACAAACAAACAAAAAACTTATGTAAATGATGATTTTTCAAATTATTCCCAGGAATCAAACAGCATCAAAGCTGTTAAACTGCCCAACTTCAAAATGGCCTCTGCTTTGTTTCCTCCACTGGATGATTGATTGCAATTAGCAGGCAGGACCTGAAACATCCACTGTAAAACACAACACACATTTTATGTTGTAATTCTCAAGAATTCATAAAAAGTTGAATATTATAAAAAGTATGGAGGTTATGAATACCAAGAGATACAGCTGGCATCAGGAGACCAAGCTGAATGGTATAAAAGTTGAATGGTGAAAATAGCACAAACTGTGCAGGAGAAGAAGTTTGACACTAACAGACATAATTAGCAAACATGACAAATCTGAACTGTTCAATCTCCTGCTTTCTGGAAACTCCAGGATCTATCGCAGAGTTAACCAGTTCATTGCTGATTCTTCATTCAGTGAAGGAATGAAACCTGTAGAGGAGAGTGTGAGTGATGCCAGATGGAGGCCAGTGTGGAGAAGGACAGAGGGTCAAAGGTCACACTGAGATCAGATGGCAGGAAGATCAATGGGAACCAGACTGGAATTGTTCATGGAGGTTATTGAGTTACATTTGAAGTTCAGAGACGACTCTCTGATTAGTTTGGAGATAAATTAGAGATGTGGTTAAGATTATTTTAATTGTTGGGATCTTTAGTTTCTACAGTATTTCCAGTAATGGCAGCATTTTAAAAAGGTCAGTTCTAGAGGAAAGTAAGGAGTGAATGATGACAGCAATGAAGAACCTGGAGGTTGGAAGTTGGGATGGTGGGATTGGATCAAGTATGTCAGCAGAGGATTTACACTCATGGATGATGCCAGACAGATTGGAGATGAAAATGGCTGATAAAGAGGATTTTCACCCTACAATCACTGATTCATCCATTCACTCACACCCTGTTGGTGTGAGCTATTGAATAGTAGCCACAGCTGCTCTGGAAGCCTGTCAGAGGACTCAAACCAACCCATTGATTACTGGATGAACTCGCTCCACCATTTAAACCATGGAGATGAAGAAGGGAGGCGACTGTTACAGAAACAAGTGATGCTCTCACTCTGTGTAACGCGGTCAGGAAAAGACTATCAGCTGCTTTCTGCAGAGCTTTGCTGTTGGTTTCTCTTAAAGTCCAAATCAATCACTAGCAACTGACTTTTCTAATTTTAACTTTGACCAGCGAATGTATGAGCAGGTGTTTGTCTCTGTGATGGATCGCCTCCCATTTATGATCAAACAGAAAATGCAAACACACATCCTCCCCATTTGCAACAGAAATCTCCTCACTGGCTGAACCTTCTCAAACTGGTTCCTAAACTGGAAGGATCACCAAAAAGCTGGATCTTAAACAATCAGAGTCGCTGAAACCTGATCACCAGAACCAGTCTCAGATGTTTCTGGTTCGCTGCAGCACCGACTCACTAACAGCTGGTTTCTCAGTCAGAAATCTCCTCACTGGCTGAACCTTCAGCAACAACCAGTTTCTCTCTGGCTCCTCCCACCACTGCTGAGCTCAGCCAATGAGAAGGCTCGTCTCTGCAGAGCTAAAAGCAGCTTGATGATGACGATGAAGGTCTGTTAGTCTTCCTTCTGCTGCAGTGGATCATCTCTGTTGATCTCGTGTCTGACCTGAACTCCTGGAACATGTTGCTTCACCTCCTGCTCTTCTCTCTCTGCATCGGTGAGTATCAGAACCGAGAGAAGCTCTGATCTTCTCTCTGGATCTCACTGCGACCACATGTGGATGGAAGAGCCTCTGAGTCTCCTGACGCCTGAATCTGCTGCAGACTGACTGACATGAACCATCATTTTACAGCCATGGGCTCCATGAACACCGTCACACAGGAGCAGAGGGAACACGCCGCTTCAGAGGGAAAACCCACCAGTTTGAGCTGCGACTATACTGGTTCCATCTATAATGTCCAGTGGTATCGACAGCGGCAGAGATCCAGACCAGAGTTCCTGCTCTCCATCACAGAGTCGGGATCGATCCATCCAACTCGCTCCAATTTCTCCGCTCACATCGATAAAACTCAGAAACAAGCAAATCTGCTGATCTCCTCTGCTGCAGTGACAGACTCTGCTGTGTACTACTGCGCCGTGTCGCCCACAGTGACAGGAAACACCGGAACCCTGTACAAAAACCTGCAGTACTGCACAGCAGCCACTAGAGGGCCTCACTCCCTGTTAATCCACAAAAACCTGCAGTACTGCACAGCAGCCACTAGAGGGCCTCACTCCCTGTTAATCCACAAAAACCTGCAGTACTGCACAGCAGCCACTAGAGGGCCTCCTCCCTGATAATCCACTGGTTGTTGAGTCTTTGGACTGAAGACAAAGTCATGAAGCAGGAAAGATAGGACAGCTGCTGCTGTGGAGGCAGAAAACTGTGATAATTCTGTAATTATGTTTCATTTTGTTGACATAAATATTAGTTATTAGTTCAGGTTACCATTTCTTCAAACGGACTGAGGTTTGATCCATCAAGCAGGATGATGAATGTAGAGCGAAATCCTCTGGTTCTCTGGACCTGATAAAGCGTTATCGAAGTTTAGCTCCACCTGCTGGTAAGAAGTTTGTCTTAAACAGAGAATGACCCGGTAGCTTTTACTCTTTGAGTCTTTCTGAAATTAATCACCAGATGTAGTTTGGCTGTGATTGGTTGATACATGAATCCAAATAAAACATACAAGAACTATATCCACAGTGATATACAGATTATTTAAAATTGAGTCATGATGAAATGATGCAAAGTTGAATTTACAGCATCAGCATGCAGAGCCTGCTGCAAGGAGGATTTCTCCCCTTTCGTGAGGAGCTCTTCTCAGTGTGATCTGTAAATCAGCTTTTTTGATTGAATTAAAATTGTGAAAAAAATCTTTATTTTTAAATTTTAGAAAGTCTATTTTCTCAGATAACATCACTGGGTGATGAAATGGGCCCTGATCAAATGCTGCAGTCGTTTTCTCCACAGAAATACAGTCTGACAAGAAAACCTGTTCATATGAACTCTTTAAACTCTGTCTTTACGTTTATACATATTGCTTCCTCTGCAATGCTAAGAAATACAAATACAATGTAACTGGGTTAGGATATACTTATTTCCATACTTATTGAGGAAATTGAGGCTCATTGAGGAAAACCGGTGAGAGAGAGAGGAGGAGCCACACTGGAAAGTTTCAGTTCCAGTTTCCAGAAATGAAAGTAAAATGAGTGAAGAACAGCAGAGCTGCAGTCGAGACTAATTTCTCTGTCTGTGTTCATTTCTTCCTTCTCAGTAACTGCCCCAGACAGCGGTGAGTACAGATGATAATATTCACTGTTTCAATCAGCAGCAATCTGGGAATAATCTTCTCATTGCTTTCAGAAACTCAGATTTTAATCTAATATTTATTTTCCATGTGTTGTTCTTAACCAACATGTTGGTTTAGGATTTTATTCCAACTAAAAATAAAGAATTATGCCATCAGCAGTTCAAATGTCAGTTTAATTTATCTTCAGCTGATGGAATAAGGAAGTGATGTGAGCGGCTCACAAGAAGAAAAGGTTAAGAGGTCAAGCTAAGGGCTTACTGTGTGGCTGGAGAGGAGCAGTGAGGGTACCTGGAGTACCTGTGCAGGTGTCTAACCTGTTCAATAACATCAGAGAAAGAGAAAACAATGGAGAAGAAGTGAGCTGGTGCCAATTATCAAGAGCAAGGAAGATGCACAGAGTCCTCAGCCAGACTCAGGTTGACATCGGTGAGCACTGTCGCGTTTCATGTCAAGAAAATGTTCTACAGATGCAATCTTTGCTTTGCACATGTTGATAGAGAAGTCCAGAGAACGTCAGAGGAGCTGCATTGTGTTTTTATAGATCTAGAAATGACAGAATTGCTAGAGAGGAACTGTGGTTCTGCATGAGGAAGTCTGGAGTAGGAGAGAAACATGATGGAGTGGTAAAGGATGTGGATGTGAGACTGTGGTGAGGTGTGCTGTCGGAGGGACAGAGGAGTTCAGAGTGGCAGTGAAACCTCCACTTTGGCTCTGAGCCTTTCCTGTTTGCTGTGGTGATGGACAGGTTGATGAAGGAATCTCCATGG